CACAGGCTGCCCAGGGAGGTTGTGGAGTCTCCTTCTCTGGAGATATTCCAGACCCGCCTGGACAAGGTCCTGTGCAGCCTGCTCTGGGTGACCCTGCTTCGGCAGGGGGTTGGACTGGATGACCCACAGAGGTCCCTTCCAACCCCTACTATTGTGTGATTCTGTGATTCTGTGAACATCAACTGAAGGCAGCAGAGGGGAGGTAGCAGAGAGGTCTGGGGGACTCTGCCTGCGTGAAAACGTCTGGTAGTTGGAGACGCTGTAACAAATGCCTTCTAGGCTGCAGTGCTTGGTCCGTGCCTCTGGCTGTAGAGCCCAAGGGATTGTTTTGTTTTGGTGGATCCTTGCCACAGCAACACCTGTTCACTACATTCCATCCATGGCACCAAAAGCACATGCCATGACTCCCAACTGCTGAGAGTTGTCGTGGGCGTGGGGTTGCAGTGCTGTCCGTGTGCTTCCTTGCTCATAAAGGAGGTGGAGAGGGAGCAGTAGGGTTCCCAGACCATGCAGTGGACCCCACCTGGAGTCCTGCGTCCAGCTGTGGAGCCCCCAACATCAGAAGGACATGGATGTGTTGGAGCGGGTCCAGAGGAGGCATGAAATACAGCAGCTCCCAACCAAAATGCTGGCCCTGATCTCAGCTCCAGGGCTCTCAGTTGCCCTTTGGAGAATCCTTTCTCTCTCCACTGACTATGGAAGATACAAAGGATTTCAGACAACTACTACAAGTGCTTGAAATTATCCAGTGTGAATAAACCCCTCCCTTTGCCTACCCCCAGGCTCTGCCCTAAAGAGTTGGAATCAGGATGGGAAGGTCAAGGAGAGGAATAGGGACATGGGGTGAAGTCACGGGCTTTGAAACACCAGGGATGCCCCCTCCCTGGCAGGGTTCAAGACCAGGTTGGATGGGGCTCTGAGCAACCTGGGCTGGTGGAAGATGTCCCTGCTGATGGCAGGGGGGTTGGAACCAGATGATTTTTAAGGTCCCTTCCAACCCAAACCATTCTATGATTCTGTGATTGTGGTGGCTGGGGAGAGGTGTCTCAGCAGCTGTGGTTTTAGTGTCTTTACCACCCGTTATCTGTCTTCTTGCAGGAGAAGCTCAAGTACTTCCCTGTGTGCTTGAGCACCAAAATTCACCAGGAGGATGATGCAGAAGAAGGCCTTGGCAGCCTCCCCAGGAACATCAGCTCCCTCAGCTCCCTGCTGCTCTTCAACACCACCGAGAACCTGTGAGAGCTGGAGCAGTGCTGTGCTGCTCACCTGCCCCTGCTTGTCCTCTGAGGAGCTTTCCCTTCCCCCGGGGCAGCAGTAACTGCTTGCTTTCCTGGGGAGTCTTACGTACCAGGCTCCTGACGGGACAGGGTTTGGTACCTCTCCGCTGGCTTCCAGCTAGCAACCCCGTCTTCCCCACGCTTCTCCTTGGGTGGAAGGAGTTGTTTTGTCTGCACCTGATCCTCCACTCACCTGCTTTCAACCCAACTTTGCGCTTCCCTTCCCCGACTTAGCTTTTCCCGTCATATCCCTGTAACAATTTCTCTCTGGCTGTGGAAGCTGCTGTCACTCCTGCCCTCCTCTGCCCCACGTGCCTGCCTAGGTTCTGCTCCTTCTCCTGATGACTCCTCACAGCAACGCTTTGCTGCTGCTTTACTGTCTCCACTGCCTCTCACTGCACTTCCCTTTCGCTTCTTTAAGCCCTTCTTGAGCTCTCAGCTGCTGGATCTCCTCTTTCTTCCCCTGAGCCACAGATTATTTCCCCTCGTATCTGTCTTCCTGCCCCTTGAGTGGCAAGTCACCAGGAGAGACTCGTGTCCTGCTGCAGGTTGTAGGACGGTCTCAGGCCAGGCGGTGGGAGGCGGCGAGCTTGGTCATGATGGCAGTGCAGTGGGGCTTTGCTGAATGTGGGAGCTGTGCTGGCAGGGTGAGGAGCTGATGGCCTGCTGGCTGTGGAGGGGGAAGGCAGGAAAACGGGGCTAGCGGAAGGAAACTGGAAGGCCCGACATGTTCCACCTGTGTGAGTGAGTTGGGAGATCTCGACCTCCAAGGCCTTCTTGGGTACACTGTTTCTTCTGGCCTTGGCTCTCAAGGTGGCATCGCTGAAATCCTTGTCCTCTACCTTTAGGTACAAGAAGTATGTTTTCCTGGATCCTCTGGCTGGAGCCGTGACCAAGACCCACGTGGCTCTGGAAACAGAGACAGAAGAGAAGCTCTTTGATGCTCCTCTCTCCATCACCAAAAGGGGACAGCTGGACCGACAGGTGAGATGCAGCTGTGGGGATGGAGCTGCTTCCCCTTGAGGGGATTGTGCTCAGCTCTCTGAGAGCGGAGGGCTTCTGTAGGGTGGAGAGCAGGTAGGAGAATGGACCCTCAGGGGGCTGTAGGGCATCTGACTTATCAGAAGGACCTTGCCCATTTTTGAGCTTGAATTCCTGGTTTGGGCTTGATGGATGACACAAAACCCTCAAACTTGGCAGGTGTTTCTCTGCTCAAGCCATTGCTGGGTGGTGTGAGAAGAGTAATGTAATATCGATTGACCTTGCTGCTAGACCTCAGGGCTCTAGAGAATTTTGGAGGCTCCATCGCTTGATAATCCCCCTGGTGCTAACTCCTGAGCCTTGTGAGGAGAGAGGGGGTGCCATGGCAGGAAGGTGCCTGGGAGGAGGCCCGTGCCCCATCATTC